TAACTATGAACATATATATGTAGATTGAGAAAAATAATTGAATGTGATATACGTAAGAAGTATGAATAAGTTGTATCAAATGGTTGATGATGAAAAAAAAATTATGAGTAGGGAAATAACATATTCCAGTTTAGAAGAATATTTTAATGTACTAAAGATCAACCCGACCAACCCGTACGGTTTGGGTTGGGGGGTTAGGTTACACTTTGGTTTGAGTTGGGTTAAGATTTTTTCAAACCGCAAGCATTGGGTTTGGTTGTTCAAATGTTTTCAACTCAACCCATAAGCACCCCTAGTTGTGAGTAGTGATGGCCAAAAACCGGTCCCGGGCCTGGCCGGCTGGTCCTTACCGGTCCCAGGCCTCAACAGATCCGTCCATAAACGATCGCGGTCGAAAAGGTGAGCCCGGTTAAGCTTTATTGTAACCGGTTATGGGCCACCAGTCCTGGTCATTAAAAAATATATATTTTTAAATTTTTTTAATGATATATATTTTTTATACATCATAAAATTTATAATTGTGTCACTCAAATACACTTTAAAATACGTTTTATTATAATTAAAATGACACCGTCTTTCAAAATATAGCGAGAAACCGAAAATTGTGGATGTCTTTTTTGCGTTTTTTGCGAATCGAGAGCTTGGTATGTGAACCCCTCAACCTATATATAGTGTTTAGAAGGCAAAAATAAATAAAAAAAAGGCTAAAAAACGGTGATAAACGGCTAGTTTTTTTTTTAAATAACGGCTAATTTTAAAAAAATACAACTACATTTTTGAAAAATCGGGCCGGGCCATAACCAATCCCGGTCCCGCGAAACACCCAAATCTATAATCGGTCCCAGATTTCAGTCATATAACCGATCCTTACTGATCCCGGACCGGGTCAAACCGGTTTGGCCATCATTAGTTCTGAGTATGATTTTTTAGTAATTGTTCATATCACATCATTATTTTTTAAAACTGACATGATACTTAAAAAATTATGTTAGAAATTATATTTTAGTTATACAGTTAAAAAGTTATCATATATAATATTATCTACTAGAAAATACAATAACAAATATCTTAGAAGACATAGAGAATTGATGTGTTAATTCGTATACAACTCTACTACCATTCTAAATGGTCCAAATTAAAAGATGTTAGAAGAGTATTCGTGCAATGCAATGAAACACATCTCGATTTTAATGTTCTATTTTATTATATGTCTCTGTCGATGTTATAATACGATTTTATGTGTTGTTAAGATAACAATAATGATTTTATTTTTTAATAAGATATAAATTAGAAGATATCATAAAAATTTGATATATCAAATCAACCATTTAAAAGTTTTATTTTTTTTATTATAACTTAATTTAAGTTTAATAATGAAATAATTTATTTTTGGTTTAATAATATAACATTTTATAAAGATAATAATTCAGTATTATGTTAGAACTCAATGATATCCTAATTATATTTTAGATTTTTTATATTTAAAATGATATGTTTATCCTGTATTTGATTATGTTTATATGCAGTTAGTTACACGAATTCAAATACGGAGCTTTAATAAGTTATACTTACGCACAATCTACTTGTAATCTTGAGTTTTAAGTAATATGCATTAATAAACAGTACTTTATGCATAAAAAATGGTTTTTAAAAGTTTTTATCAAATGCTTTGTAATATAGTATAGAATAAAGTGAAATGATTAAAATTTGATATTAACCTTTACTAGATAAAATACTCTTTCATTATTTTTAAACCTAAAATACTTAAATTATTAGATAAATTCTCTCGTTGATCCGTCGCTAAAGGAGTCTTTTCTCCCTGATCTAACGCTGAATTTCGTCATTGATCCGTCGTTGATAGCATTACCTACGAGCTTGTGACCGACGGACTATCAACGACAGAACAGATTAACGAGAGAATTTTCCCTCGCTGATGCTCTTCATTTTTGTAGTACTACGATTGGATTGGATTAAGAGTTCCATTTCGATCACATATTTTCTTTAAAAGATTTTCTAAATTTGAAATCTCGCAAACATAGAAATTTGAAATCTTATAGAGTCTATAGGTATTTCATAGGATTTCGTAGAATTTGTATATAATAAAGTGCTAAAATATGTTAAAAACATTTAGTTGGTAATAATCTAATTACTAAAAAATGTAATTTAATTACTTTTATAATTATTTAATTTTTTTTACAAACTATATATAAATAATGATATTCAATTCAGTTTCAGATCCTACAGACCAAACACATCAAAGATTCCAAATCCTTTCACGAAATTCAAAATCCAAATACCTCAAAACCAGTCATCAAACCAAACACCCACTAAAATTTTGAATTAACCAAATGAAATAGAAAACAGTAAGTTTTTAATCTTAATTTACGTATGTATATCGATATAATTTTTCGAGTTCTTTTAACAGATTTTCAAATTTATAAACCACGACTTTAATTCATACTTTGTTCAAACATAAATTCTAAATTATCGTTTCTAACAAAAGAAATTGCATTACATAATCTTCTTTTTGAAGTATATAATATTTATATACGACAAATGCAACAAATAAATCCATACACCCTCCTCATCAAATGTAAGGTTTGAACGTCTGACCTCCTAGAAGGCCAAAGACTATGATATTGTTAGGCCAAAGCCCCTTTGGTTGTATTATATAATATTCAATTCTATTATATAATAAAATCTTAATTATTACATATGATTTCTATTAGTATTTTAGTAGCTAAAAACAAACTTTGGAAGACGTTGGCCGATGTCCAAACGTGAGTACTACTAATAATTGTTTCAAGAATTAAACATCTCTCTCTCTCTCTCTCTTTATATTTATATATATATATATATATATATATATATATATATATATATAGGAGAG